TGTCCTAATGCTTCATCCAATTTGTTATCTGTTCACCGTTTCACTGTTGATAACCATTGCTATTTTCTAATTTATCCTACTTTTTTTCTCATCAAGGACCTCAAAACCCAGAGGACGCTTTTCCAAGGGAGATGTGAGAATGGCTTATATCCATTGCAGTTTAGACCCCCTTCATCAATCCAGGCATTGGCAGCTTCCATAGGTTCTAGAGTTTCTGCACAAACTTGGCACTCTCGCTTAGGACATCCTGCATCTGCCATAATAAAATATTTAATTTCGAATAAGATTGTACCCGTTTGTGGTTCTTCTAAATTTTCCTTTTGTCATTCCTGTCCATTAGCTAAGAGTTCTAAATTACCCTTTAGTGTTTCATCATCCGAGTCACAGTTTCCTTTACAACTTGTACACTCTGATGTATGGTGTTCTCCAGTTAATTCAATTAAAGGTTTTAAGTATTATTTGTTGTTCGTTGATGATTTCTCACGCTATTCTTGGATCATTCCTATGAAAAATAAATCTGATGTCCATCAAATTTTCATTCGCTTTAAAACTCGGGTTGAAAATCTTCTATCCCATAAAATAAAAATATTGCAGTGTGATGAAGGTGGAGAATACACCAAAAAGACCTTTTCTCAATATTTGTCATCTCAAGGTATCCATCAAAGGTTCTCTTGTCCAAAACATCCAGAACAAAATGGCTTGGCCGAAAGGAAACACCGTCACATAGTTGAAACATGTTTGGCTCTTATGACTCAGTCTCACATGCCACAGAAATATTGGGAAGAAGCTTTTCAAACTGCCGTGTATCTGATAAATAGGTTACCTACTAGAGTTCTTCAACAAAAGAGTCCATATTAAATTTTGTTCAATCGTAATCCAAGTTATGAATTTCTTCGGGTCTTTGGGTGCACTTGCTTTCCTCTTCTTCGTCCGTATACCCAAAACAAACTTTAGCCACGGTCTCGTTTGTGTGTATTCATGGGTTATTCTCTTAATCATCTTGGCTATCAATGTCTGGACTTAACAACAGATAAGGTGTTTTTGTTCCGCCATGTGCTGTTTGATGAAGGTGTTAGAAATGTGCCCTAAGAGCCAATACATTTGATGTAATCTCCTTAGAATACATTTCGTATATGATAAATAAAGGGCAATATTATTTTGTTATCTTTTATGTCGCGTAAAGAAACAAAAGTCCAGGGTATACTAAATAAGAGATAAAGTAATCTAAAGAAGTTTAGATTCGGGAGACCTTTAATCTTTAACTGTAGTATCCCAAAATGTTCCTAATCATATGGTTATCAAATGGGCATTGATAAACCGTCAAGATTGGCACATACTAGTCCTTAGACCTGAGGCATCATGGTTGTCTTGTGATGCGTTATTGATCTTTGATAGCTCACAAAGGCAAGTCGTAAAAGATTTTCCTTATCTGTTATTGGGATCTCTTAATTCATCATGGAGACATGTGAATGTACAATAAGGAATCTCTACCTTGATAAAGAAAGGAGAATGTTTCAAGATATGATTCAGTGAATCTTCGGCCGAAGTATTTGAACATGATTTAGAAAGCGGTTTTAATTATGTTCTATTGAATCACATGAGGTTAATCATATTAGGGGTTTGACATTATCAATCCGTACCCTAATAATATGATTGGAAACATTGTATAAGAGAAGGACCGTATTGCATTGCAATTCCAACTGAATAGGTTCTTCATCTATTCTAATTAGCTTGGGTAGCCATGATATATTGCTAGATGTCACTCTTGGCTTGTGGAAGTCCTAGGATTGATTGTGATCGATCCAAATAAAGGAAGAATTAAAAAGGGGTTTTAATTCCAGTTGGTTAGAAAGAGTTCTAATGTATTCCCACTGCCTTGCTAAATTAGAACCTAATGGATCGCACACCTTAAATGGTTAACTTTGAGTAATACAAATGAGAATGAGGAAATCAATTTGATTGATTTGATGTGGATGATTTACTACGTGTAAAAATATATTTGGGCCTCGGTAATAGTTAATGAGAAGCCCAAATGGTTGGGTATCAAGCCCATGGACTTAAGACACCTAAATTATGGCTTAAGTGTCATAAGGCCCAATTTTGGAAGCCCAATGGGGTTTGGCCGAAAATGCTTAAGTAAAGGTGTATGGGAATTGTTTCCATAAGCTTATTTTTACACACAAACACAATCCAACATCAACCAAATAGGTTTGGGAGATCAAAGAGAGAAAAAGGAGAGTTTTCAAGATTTCTTTCAAAGGGGTTTAGATTGAAACCAATCTTGAGAATCTTGTACTAGCATCCTTGTATTCTCAAGATACTTCTTCTCATCTCAAGGTTCCATTGGTGTGGAGACTTAGAGGCCATAACCTTTTGTGGCTCACAAGGAGGAGAAAGATCAAGAGGTGATCAACAAAGGGAAATCATCAAGAGAAGACCAAAACACAACTTGGTTCATATTATAGCTTCAAGGGTAATTAGAACTTATCCTTTCTCTTGAATTTACATTTTATGAAATCATATCAATGTTCATGGCTTAAGATACTTGGAAGAAGTTTTGTTTTTGAATTTAAACAACCACCATAGACTTCCGCTGCGATTAATTTGATTAAATGCATGTTTAATATTCAAATGAACTTTGGAAAAATGTTTTAAAACCAACAATTGGTATCAGAGCCGTAGGTCATGAACTTGATATGTTTTTGGGGTTTAGAGATGCATATATGGGTTGTGAATTCATTTAGAAGTATAATAGTTATACTTGATTTATTTTGATTTGATCGAATAAATATCAAATGGAGTGAAATGGGTTGTTTGGGATTTTTTTGGATTTCCGGATTTAAGTTTTGATGATTGATGCTCTCTTTGTTTTCATATATGTATGTATGAACATTAGAGCATAGTTGCATTAAAACCCCATGATTTTAACTTCATGAAATATATGATATTAAGAGCATGAGAATGTTAAAATGGAATATGGATTTTTCCGGAAATAGTATGAACATTCATATTAGTTCATATGCATGTTCTTGGTGTTCTTGATGTTCTTGTTATGGGATCTTTTTGATCCATAGGTTAGGTGGCTAATTTTGATGATTGTGTTTAGTGGAATTTCCCACCAAAATAGGTCAAAAGATGATGATGGTGTTTTATTATAAAATTAAAGGTTTTTAAAAAATGTTTCCACTCAATAAACATTTACCCACCACACTAAAATTAATAAGATTACTTTGGTGAGTGTGTGGGGCTTTCTAGATATAAATGATGGTGATTTGATATAAAATGCAAAAGTTGATCAATTTATTCATATCACTAATTATTTACCTACCACACAAAAATTAATTTTGATTACTTTGGTGAGTGTGGTTGGCCTACCTAGTCACATTTATGATTATTCACCTTGTTGGAATAATCATGATCACCACTTTGTGTTAAACAAATGCATGCTTTAACCCCACACCCTAGTGGATCAACATTGGATCCATTATTAATTGTTGAATAATTTTGGACTTGCAATATATGATAAGTGTAACTATGTCCAAAAGATTTGCACAATTACTTTTGCTATTGAAGTAAAACGTTTTCACTCCATGGTAAATTCATTTTGAATATGGCTACCACTTGAATTAAACCCACATATGTATGCAACCCAAGAGCATGTATTTACATTGCTAGTTTAATTGTTTAAAGTGTTTAAATAATTAAAGGATGGTTATGGACTTAGACCACACAATTGAGCTATGTGATTGGCCGCTTATTGGATATGTATTCGATTTTGATTGGCTATGTAATAATGAAATGGCTTTCATGCCTAATTTATTTTTATGCGTGCGTAATTAAAATGAATCACCTTCCAAGACCATGATCCAACATAGTGGCTCGTGTTGGATCAACAAGAAAGTCCATAATCATCCTATAAGCCCAATGCAATTGGAATGTTCGGTAATGACAACAATTAACCAATTAGTAGCACCATGTATTCTCACTATCTCAAGCAAATGGTTTCTAAAAATATTTAGTGGAAGTATTATGTGCTACTGATATGTTGCATTGGGAACCACTTAAAGGTAATTTTAACAGGATTAAAATTGGATTCAAATGAGACCAATTTAACTACCCTCAAAGCAATATTAAGTTGATAAGCGAAATGGCATTTTGAATGCTATTTTGTGGCCTTTCACCGTGGTAGTCTCTTATTGGGTGGCACATTTACACTTTGTTGTACCTCAGTGAGGCAACATACAGTACTTGTAACCATCCAAGGGAAGCCTATTACACATACTTGATGTAGTGCGGATAGATAACGAGTGTGGCCAACAAATCGTTAGGTTGAGGTCATGCTTGAAACCCTATACCCACAAGCATGGGAATAACTTAACTAAGACGAACGAAACCAACAAACTGTTAGGTTGAGGTCTAGTTCTCTAGAGGCCATAGTGAGGATAAGAGTATCCTCTCATTAGTAAGATAGCAATCCAACAAACTGTTAGGTTGAGGAAAACTATATGAAATTGAAACTCCCATCCCCACTAAGAGTTTCAACGGAAACTCTCGGATTTCAAGAGAGATATGAAATTTGACAAAAATAGTGGGAGCTACCATCATGACTTAAAGACCCTAAGTTTTTGGTTGAAGATTAATCTAAACTAAAATTTGTTTACGTTGTTGCAGAATTTTCAAATGGCCGTTAAAAACCCAATCTCATCAATACTTAACAATTACATCCTTGATGGCACGAACTATCCGGGTTGGCTTCGCAAAATGAAACTTGTCCTCAAAATGGATGAGATTGATTATGTGTTGACACAAGCCCCACCACATATTCTTCCCGACGAAGAAGCTGCTGAGGAAGAAATAACTGCTTATGAGAAGCATGTCAAGGATGATAGTAGAGGTAAATGTTACTTACTAGCATCCATGAATGATGAGCTACTAAAACAACATGAAGATATAGATGATTGTACTTCCATATTGCTTCACCTTAAAGAGCTTTATGGTGAAGCTACTCGTAGCTTGCGATTCAATACAATATGTGAACTTGTCAACACAAAGATGACAAGAGGGACTCCGGTTAATCAGCATGGTCTCAAGATCATATCATTACTTGAGAAATTGGAAAAATTGGATTGTCCATTTAATGCTGAAGTTCAACAAGATTTTTGTCTTTCGTCCCTCTCATCAGATTTTTCCCAATTTGTTATGAACTATAATATGGGAAAGATGGAAAGTTCCTTACCTGAGCTACTCAATATGGCTATAGTAGCTGAAAAGAATATCTCAAAGGATAAAGGGTTGAAAGGGACAGTTGCTGTGTTTGAAAAGAGTTCTTCCTCCTCTTCCAAATCCAAACCGAAAGGTAAGGATAAGGGAAAGAAGAAGAAAGGTTTTCTAAAACCCAAGAAAGGAAAATTAACAAAGAAAGGCAAGGAACCGAAAGGAACTTGCTTTCACTGTGGAAAGGATGGACATTGGAAGAGAAATTGCAAGGATTACCTCGCAAGCTTAAAGAACAAGCCTTCGGAAGGTAACACTCTTGTTCTTGAATCAGTTTTTACAGTTAATACTTCTACCTGGATAGTTGATTCAGGAGCTAGTCAACATATTTGCAATTGTGTGCAGGGACTAGTAGGAAGTAGAAGACTCGGAAAAGGAGAAATGGTGCTAACTGTGGGTAATGGCACTAAGGTAGCTGCCAAAGCTGTAGGCACCTATCATCTCGATCTACCTTCAGGGGAGACCCTGAATTTAAATAATTGTTATTTCATTTTTGGTTATGTAAAGAACTTAATATCTGTCTCTATGCTTTTTAAGAGACGGATTTGTTGTTTTGTTTGACAAACTACTTTGTTCTATTTCACATAATAATCGAATTATTGCTTATGCAAATTTGATTGATGGTTTTTTTCATTTAGAAATGAATGGTAGTATTAACTGTATAGATAAAGATGCACCTAGACCTAAAAGGCCTAGAGAAGTGGATAACTCAACTAAATTGTGGCACCTCAAATTTGGACACATTGGCCAAGATAGGATTCACCAGATGGCAAAAGATGAATGCCTTGGATCTTTAGACCCTGCTCCTATGCCTACTTGTGAATCTTGTCTACAAGGTAAAATGACCAAGTCTCCTTTTACAGGAAAAGGAGAAAGAGTTACAGAGTTGTTGGGGTTAATCCACACAGATGTTTGTGGACCTTTGTCTACAAACGCAAGGGGAGGTTATTCATACTTCATTACCTTTACTGATGATCATTCACGATTCGGGTATTTATACTTAATGAAGCATAAGTCTGAATCTTTTGAAAAGTTTCAGGAATTCAGAAATGAAGTTGAAAACCAAAAAGGCAAGAGTATTAAAATCCTTAAATCTGATCGAGGAGGTGAATACTTAAGCACTGAGTTTCTTGATTACCTCAAGGAACATGGCATCTTATCACAATGGACTCCACTAGGGACTCCACAACATAATAGGGTTTCTGGAAGGAGAAATCGAACCTTAATGGATGTGGTTCGTTCCATGATGAGCTATACTGATTTACCTATATCCTTTTGGGGATATGCACTTGAAACAACAACTCATTTGTTAAATAGAGTGCCTTTCAAATATGTTCCACAAACTCCATACGAAATGTGGTTTGGGAAGAAACCAAGTCTTGGTTATATCAAGATTTGGGGTTGTCCAAAATATGTCAAAAGACAAGATGTGGATAAACTAGATGTAAGGTCAGTGAAGTGCAGATTTATCGGGTATCCCAAGGAAACTATGGGATATTACTTTTATCACATCGATGAGCAAAAGGTGTTCGTCGCAAGGTCAGCTACCTTCCTGGAAAGAGAATACGCTCTTGATGGGAAAGGGGGACATGAGATAGAACTCAAGGAATTGTCCAAAGAGCTAGAAATCAACACTGAACTGAATGCAATCCCAGATCCACAAACTGATATGACACAAACTCCACGTAGTTCAACTAGGGTTAGAAGAATGCCTGAGAGGTATTATGGTTTCCTTCGTGAAAATGAAGGAGAGTTAAATCTCCTAAGTGATTGTAAGGATATTGAAAACCCTTCGAACTACAATGAGGCAATGTGAGACATTGACTCACAGAAATGGCTTGGAGCCATGAAATCCGAAAAGGATTCTATGTATACCAACCAAGTCTGGACTCTAGTTGATCCGCCTCCTGGTATTGTACCAATAGGAAATAAATGGATCTTTAAGAGGAAGATAGGCTCAGATGGGAAAATAGAAACCTATAAGGCAAGGCTGGTAGCAAAGGGCTACAAGCAGAGAGAAGGGATTGACTACGAAGAAACCTTCTCTCCTGTTGCTATGACAAAGTCTATTCGGATTTTGCTTGCAATAGCTGCATACCATGATTATGAGATTTGACAAATGGATGTGAAGACGGCTTTTCTTAATGCCCACCTTCAGGAAAGAACTATACATGGATCAACCTGAAGGCTTCATTTCTACAGCTAATAAGCATAAGGTATGCAAGCTACATAAATCCATTTATGGGTTGAAGCAAGCTTCTAGGAGTTGGAACATCCGCTTTGATGAAGTTGTCAAATCGTTTGACTTCATGCAAAACATGGATGACCAATGTGTGTACAAAAAGGTCAGTGGGAGTTCGGTAGTATTCCTAGTGTTGTATGTAGATGACATACTGATTATTGGAAACGATATAGGAATGCTATCTTCAGTGAAGCTGTGGCTCACTAAATCATTCGCAATGAAAGATTTAGGAGAATTTGACTTCATACAAAACATGGATGGCCAATGTGTGTACAAGAAGGTCAGTGGGAGTTCGGTAGTGTTCCTAGTGTTGTATGTAGATGACATACTGATTATTGGAAATGATATAGGAATGCTATCTTCAGTGAAGCTGTGGCTCACTAAATCATTCGCAATGAAAGATTTAGGAGAGGCATCTTATATACTTGGTATAAAGATTTATCGTGATAGATCTCATAGAATAATTGGATTATCTCAATCCTTGTATATAGATAAGGTGCTAAAGAGATTTCATATGGAACAATCTAAGAAAGGGTTACTTCCAGTTAGATATGGACTTCACCTTTCTAAGAACATGTGTCCGAAAACTCCTGAAGAGATACAGTGGATGAGTAAAATCCCTTATGCATTAGCAATAGGGAGTCTCATGTATGCCATGGTTTGTACAAGACCTGATATCAGTTATGCTGTTAGTATAACAAGTAGATACTAGTCAAACCCAGGATTAGATCATTGGGGAGCTGTTAAGTGTATCCTTAAATACTTACGAAGGACTAAGGATATGTTCCTTATTTATGGAGGAACATCAGAGTTACGAGTGGAAGCGTTTACTGATTCGGATTTCGCATCTGATGTTGATGATCGTAAATCCACATCTGGGTACGTCTTCATTCTGAATGGAGGCGTTGTTAGTTGGAGAAGTTGTAAACAAAGTGTTACTGCTGACTCCACCACTGAAGCTGAGTACATTGCTGCCTTAGAAGCGGCAAAGGAAGCTGTTTGGATGAAAAAGTTCATTACCGAACTAAATGTGGTTCCAACCATAATGTCACCAGTACCTTTGTACTGTGACAAAGCTCAAGCCAAGGAACCAAGGTCTCATCAGAGATCCAAACACATTGAAAGAAAATTCCACAAGATTCGAGAACTCATTTCGAATGGTGATGTGTGCATCCTAAAGGTTGCATCAGCAGACAACGTAGCAGATCCACTCACTAAGCCTATGTCACAGTCACAACTGGATAGACATACAGAGATAATGGGTATTAGATACATGCCTAAATGGCTCTAGTGCAAGTGGGAGATTGTTAGAAATGTGCCATAAGAGCCAATACATTTGATGTAATCTCCTTAGAATACATTTCGTATATGATAAATAAAGGGCAATATTATTTTGTTATCTTTTATGTTGCGTAAAGAAACAAAAGTCCAGGGTATACTAAATAAGAGATAAAGTAATCTAAAGAAGTTTAGATTCGAGAGACCTTTAATCTCTAACTGTAGTATCCCAAAATGTTCCTAACCATAGGGTTATCAAATGGGCATTGATAAACCGTCAAGATTGGCACATACTATGTATGCTTAATAATGAGGATGGTTGGTCTCAAACCATTTGTGTAGTTGACACTAATTCAAGTATGTGGGTGCTCATTAGTGAATGAGTACACTGAACGCGATCAACCGCAGTTCTCGTATGGAGTATTTATCTATATGTCAAACGAGAACTCATAGTTGCAATAATGCAAATTAGGCCTTAGACCTGAGGCATCATGGTTGTCTTGTGATGCGTTATTGATCTTTGATAGCTCACAAAGGCAAGTCGTAAAAGATTTTCCTTATGTGTTATTGAGATCTCTTAATTCATCATGGAGATATGTGAATGTACAATAAGGAATCTCTACCTTGATAAAGAAAGGAGAATGTTTCAAGATATGATTAAGTGAATCTTCGGCCGAAGTACTTGAACATGATTTAAAAAGTGTTTTAATTATGTTCTATTGAATCATATGAGGTTAATCATATTAGGGGTTTGACATTATCAATCCGTACCCTAACAATATGATTGGAAACATTGTATAAGAGAAGGACCGGATTGCATTGCAATTCTAACTGAATAGGTTCTTCATCTATTCTAATTAGCTTGGGTAGCCATGATATATTGCTAGATGTCACTCTTGGCTTGTGGAAGTCCTAGGATTGATTGTGATCGATCCAAATAAGGGAAGAATTAAAAGGGGGTTTTAATTCCAGTTGGTTAGAAAGAGTTCTAATGTTTTCCCACTGCCTTGCTAAATTAGAACCTAATGGATCGCACACCTTAAATGGTTAACTTCGAGTAATACAAATGAGAATGAGGAAATCAATTTGATTGATTTGATGTGAATGATTTACTACGTGTAAAAATATATTTGGGCCTCGATAATAGTTAGAGGGAAGCCCAAATGGTTGGGTATCAAGCCCAAGGACTTAAGACATCTAAATATTATGGTTTAAGTGTCATAAGGCCCAATTTTGGAAGCCCAATGGGATTTGGCCGAAAATGGTTAAGTGAATGTGTATGTGGGGTTTGGCCGAAAATGGTTAAGTGCATGTGTATGGGAATTGTTTCCATAAGCTCATTTGACACACAAACACAATCCAACATCAACCAAAGAGGTTTGGGAGATCAAAGAGAGATAGTTGTGAGTTTTCAAAAGTGAAACACTATCTTCTTTCAAAGGGGTTTAAATTGAAATCAATCTTGAGAATCTTGTACTAGCATCCTTGTATTCTCAAGATACTTCTTCTCATCTCAAGGTTCCATTGGTGTGGAGACTTAGATGCCATATACTTTTGTGGCTCACAAGGAGGAGAAAGATCAAGAGGCAAAGATCAAAGACCAAAAAGGAGATCAACAAAGAGGAAATCATCAAGAGAAGACCAAACACAAATTGGTTCATATAATTGCTTCAAGGGTAATTAGATCTTATCCTTTCTCTTGAATTTTCATTTATGAAAAACATATCAATGTTCATGGCTTAAGATACTTGGAAGAAGTTTTGTTTTTGAATTTAAACAACCACCTTAGACTTCCGCTGCGATTAATTTGATTAAATGCATGTTTAATATTCAAATGAACTTCTTAAAAATGTTTTAAATCCAACAACATGTCTTCCATGTAATAGTGTTTTTTTTTCCAAAGAAATT